GAAACTGTATCCTCACCTGGCTGTCTGCTGCCGAACACGTCTACAACCCGCAGCGCGCTGCACACAGCATTAGAAAGAGCCCAACCCACTTCCTGTGGTGGCTGCACGCAACCATGCGCACACGCGAAGGACACTCACCCCATGCCTTGACGCACGCAGATGCTTATCCGCATATTCGTGTCTGGCTGCCTCCTGCTCCTGCTCGAACACGCCCACAACAAGCAGCGCCATGCATATTCTTATCGGCACTAGCACATGTACTGCCCCTGGCTGAAACATGCACCCAGGCCAACACGCAAAGAGCACTCACCCTGCACGACAACTTGACGCCTGCAAAGCCTGGTACACCAAGTCGTTCCCAGCTGCAGCTAGAGCAACGCAACAACGCGGACCATAATGCACGCTCTAATCGCTAGCCACAAACGTACCTCCTCAGGCTGAGCAGCATCCCCACGCGCACAAGCGAAAACCACTCACCGTGGCTGATGCCATGATCTGCACAAATGCTCGAAACTGTATCCTCACCTGGCTGTCTGCTGCCGAACACGTCTACAACCCGCAGCACGCTGCACGCAGCATTACGAAGAGCCCAACCCACTTCCTGTGGTGGCTGCACGCAACCATGCGCACCCGCGAAGGACACTCACCCCATGCCTTGACGCACGCAAATGCTTGTCCGCAAATTCGTGTCTGGCTGCCTCCTGCTCGAACGCGCCCACAGCAAGCAGCGTCATGCATATTCTTATCGGCACTAGCAAACGTACTGCACCGGGCTGGAACATGCACCCAGGCCAACACGCAAAGAGCGATCAACCTTGCCCGGCGACTTGACGCCTGCAAAGCGTGGTACACCAAGTCGTACCCAGCTGCAGCTAGACCAACGCAACAACGGGGATCATAATGCACGCTCTAATCGCTAGCCACAAACGTACCTCCTCAGGCTGAGCAGCATACCGACGCGCACAAGCGAAAACCACTCACCGTGGCTGATGCCATGATCTGCACACATGCTCGAAACTGTATCCTCACCTGGCTGTCTGCTGCCGAACAGTCTACAACCCGCAGCACGCTGCACGCAGCATCACGAAGAGCCCAACCCACTTCCTGTGGTGGCTGCACGCAACCATGCGTACACGCGAAGGACACTCATCCCATGCTTGCCTTGCCGCACGCAAATGCTTGTCCGCAAATTCGTGTCTGGCTGCCTCCTGCTCGAACACGCCCACAACACGCAGCACCATGCATATTCTTATCGGCACTAGCAAACGTACTCCCCTGGGCTGAAACATGCACCCAGGCCAACACGCAAAGAGCGCTCAACATTGCCCGACGACGTGACGCCTGCAAAGCCTGGTACACCAAGCCGTTCCCAGCTGCAGCCAGACCGACGCAACAACGGGGACCATAATGCACGCTCTAGTCGCTAGCCACAAACGTACCTCCTC